TCCCCCCCCAGGTACCTGTACCGGCTCTGCCCCTTCCAGCGCGTCACCCAGAGACCCAAAAACGGCGGCGCCGAGACCAACCTGGGGTCAGGGCACCCCAAAACACCCCAAAAACACCCCAAACACCCCAAAAATACCCCAAAAACCCCCAAAACACCCCAAAAATATCCACAAAATACCCCAAAAACCCCCAAAACCACCTCAAAAACCCCCAAAATCTCACCAAAAACACCCAAAAAAACCCAAATCCCCCCCAAAACCACCCTGGGGACGCCTGGGGACAGCCCCTGGTGTCACCTGACCCCCCATGACGTCACCCGACCCCCATGATGTCACCTGACCCCGTGACGTCACCTGACCCCGTGACGTCACCTGTGCTCACCTGGCCCCTCCCCCACAGGCTCTGGGGCTCCTGGGCGGGGCCCGAAGGCGACAAATTCGGGGCCCAAAAATACGAGGGGGGCACGGGGTGCTGGCAGGGACCCAACAGAGCCACCACGGTGAGTGACACCTGTGTCACCTGTGTCACCTGTCCTGTGTCACCTGTGTGTGTGTGTGTCACCTGTGTCACCTGTGTCACCTGTGTGTGTCACCTGTGTGTGTGTGTCACCTGTGTGTGTGTGTCACCTGTCCTGTGTCACACCTGTGTGAGCAGCACGGGGTGCTGGCAGGGACCCAACAGAGCCACCACGGTGAGTGACACACCTGTCACCTGTGTCACCTGTCCTGTGTCACCTGTCCTGTGTCACCTGTGTGTCACCTGTGTCACCTGTCCTGTGTCACCTGTGTGTCACCTGTGTCACCTGTCCTGTGTCATCTGTGTCACCTGTCACCTGTGTCACCTGTGTCACCTGTGTGTCACCTGTCCTGTGTCACCTGAGCCCCCACAATGTCCCCAGCTGTGTCCCAGCTGTGTCCCAGGTGTGTCCCCAGTTGTGCTCAGCTATTTCCAGGTGTCCCCAGGTGTGTCCCAGGTGTATCTCAGGTGTCCCCAGATGTCCTCAGATGTCCCCAGATGTCCCCAGGTGTCCCCAGGTGTGTCCCAGGTGTCCCCAGGTGTCCCCAGGTGTCCCCAGGTGTCTGAGCTGTGCTGTCCCCGTGCCAGGTGTATCTCAGGTGTATCTCAGGTGTCCCCAGGTGTCCCCAGGTGTCCCCAGGTGTGTCCCAGGTGTGTCCCAGGTGTCCCCAGGTGTCCCAGGTGTCCCAGGTGTGTCTGAGCTGTGCTGTCCCCTGCCAGGTGCGGCTCAGGTGTGGCCGGGACACGGCGGTGACGGCGGCGTCGGAGCCGAGCCGCTGCGAGTACCTGCTGGAGCTGGAGACACCTGCGGCCTGCAGGGAGCCCGAAACACCTGGGCACGAGGAGCACGACGAGCTCTGAGCCCCAAAATGTCCCAAAATATCCCAAATTATCCCCAAAAAATATCCCCAAATTATCCCCAAAAACATCCCCAAAATATTCCCAAAATATCCCCAAAAAATATCCCAAAATATCCCCAAATCCCTGCAGGGAGCCCGACACACCTGGGCACGAGGAGCACGACGAGCTCTGAGCCCCAAAATGTCCCCAAATGTCCCCAAAATCATCCCCAAAAACATCCCCAAAATATCCCAAATTATCCCCAAAATATCCCAAAATATCCCCAAATCCCTGCAGGGAGCCCGAAACACCTGGGCACGAGGAGCACGATGAGCTCTGAGCCCCAAAATGTCCCCAAAATATCCCCAAAATGTCCCAAATTATCCCCAAAATATCCCCAAAATATCCCCAAATCCCTGCAGGGAGCCCGACACACCTGGGCACGAGGAGCACGACGAGCTCTGAGCCCCAAAATGTCCCAAAATATCCCCAAAAACATCCCCAAAATATCCCAAATTATCCCCAAAATATTCCCAAAATATCCAAAGAAAATCCCCAAAATAACCCCAAAAATTTACCCAAAAGATCCCAAAAAAATCCCCCAAAAAACCCTGGAAAAAATCCCAATAAAAGCCAGAAAAAATCCCAAAATAACCTGGAAAAAATCCCAAAATAACCCGGAAAAAATCCCAAAATAACCCGGAAAAAATCCCCCAAAAAACCCAAAATAACTGAGAAAAAAATCCCAAAATAACCCAGAAAAAATCCCAAAAAATCCAAAAAAAAAATCCCAATAAAAGCCAGAAAAAATCCCAAAATAACCGAGAAAAAAATCCCAAAATAACCCATAAAAAATCCTCCAAAAAATCAAAAAAGAAATCCCAAAAAACCCAGAAAAAATCCCAATAAAAGCCAGAAAAAATCCCAAAATAACCCAGAAAAAATCCCAAAAAACCCTGGAAAAAAATCCCAATAAAACCCAGAAAAAATCCCAAAAAACCCAGAAAAAAATCCCAAAATAACCCAGAAAAAATCCCAAAAAAATCCAAAAAAAAATCCCAATAAAACCCAGAAAAAATCCCAATAAAAGCCAGAAAAAATCCCAATAAAACCCAGAAAAAACTTCCTCAAAAACCCCAAAATAACCCATAAAAAATCCCCAAAAAATCCCCAAAAAACCCCAGAAAACCCCATAAAAAATCCCCAAAAATCCCCCCAAAAAATCCCGAAAATAAAAATAGCAAAAAGCCGTTTAAAAATCCAAGTGTGAGTTTTATTGGGGTCAGAGCTCGTCGCGCGGCGGCGCCGGGGCCGTCTCGGTGTCGCTGACGTAGCCGGGCTCCCCCGTGTAGTGCGTGGGGAACAGCAGCAGCGGCTCCGCCGAAAACGCCTCCAGATCCCGCCGGGAAA